TTTATATGTTTGTTTATTATCATTTGAACAATGACAAATATTTTCATGAATATTAAACACAACAACCTCTGAACATTACAAATATTCGCTTCAAATCAACCTGGAACCTCTCTCATACAATAATAGTGTGTGTGTGTGTGTGTGTGTGTGTGTGTGTGTGTGTGTGTGTGTGTGTGTGTGTGTGTGTGTGTGTGTGTGTGTGTGTGTGTGTGTGTTGGAGCTATGTGCAGCTCAAGGCATATATGCTCCAACGGGAGCTGCCTGGATGCTGCAATCATGTTGCGTGTGCTGACTTTTCGTACAATGTCCCACTGTCTGGCTACCTGCATAAAGTCAAGTGCTCGGCGCAGTTGTCGGCGAAATGTCATTGAAACAGCTCCTTATATCCGTTAGCGCAGCTAGCTAGCACCAGATGCTAACAACAACACGTAAGGTGTGCCTCGCTCGCGCGAGTCGCGCCACACATACACACTCCCTCCCGGTCCTCCCGATGGCCAGTCCGGGCCTGCCAGTGAGCGTGGAAGTGTGGTCTGCCACAAGCGGGCGGTAGGAGCGGGGCTGTCAGCATCAGCGGGGCTGTCAGCATCAGCTTGTCGATGGTATTTTAAACTCGATGCGCTCTGAAACTACGGCGGCCGAGGACAAAAAATACACATGCGTTAATCGTGTTAAAATAATTAGTGGCGTTATTTTTTTTTTGCGTTAACGCGTTATTAACGCGTTAACTTGACAGCCCTAATCTTAATGGATGCTTGTGTATTGCTATTTCCAAATATGATTAATGTTGTTTTATTCAAGTTTAATGATAACTTATTACTGTTTAGCCATAACTTTAGTTTGCATATTTCAGCTGTGATCTCTTCCAATAGTAGCTGTACATTGTCCCCAGAACAAAATATATTAGTGTCATCAGCAAACAAAACAAACTTGAGTACTGTCGATACATTGCATATTTCATTAATATACATAATAAATAGTTTCGGCCCCAATACTGACCCCTGGGGGACACCGCATGTAATGTCCAAATATGAAGAACAACTCTCCCAGCTTCACAAACTGTTGCCTGTTGGTTAAATAACTCCTTACCCATTCCAAAACTACACCCCTGATTCCATAACGTTCAAGTTTTTTTATTAATATGTCATGATTAATTGTGTCAAATGCCTTTTTTAGGTCAATGAATATTCCAATGGCATGTTTCTTTTGGTCAATTGAGCTAGTCATTTCTTCAAGTGAGTCTACTAAAGCCATCGATGTTGATCTATTGGCTCTGAATCCATATTGACTTTCGGTGAGAAGTTTGTGTTTTTCTATGAAATTGTCCAGTCTGTTATTGAAAAGCTTTTCAAGAATTTTTGAGAATTGTGGTAGAAGTGAGACAGGTCTGTAGTTTGTGAAGTGATGTTTGTTCCCAGCTTTGAACAAAGGAATGACTTTTGCTATTTTCATTTTGTTAGGAAATGCACCAGTTTGGAATGATAAGTTACATATGTGTGTTAATGGTTTTGAAATAACATCTATAACCTTTTTTAATACAGTCATGTCAATGTCATCACAATCGGTAGATTTTTTGTTTTTACAATTCGTTACAATATCAACTACCTCCCTTTCATGCACTGCTGTGAGGAACATTGAGAAAGGATTCAGTTTTATTAAGTTTTCCAGCTTATTTTCTGATGTTCCTCCATCAGGGATTTTGTCTGCTAATTCAGGTCCAACATTTACAAAGAAATCATTGAAACTGTTGGAAACTTCCTTATCCTTGTCAATGAAGTAAGTAGGATAACTCCTTTTTCTAGACCCATTTTTTATAATACTATTCAGTATGCTCCATATTTCTTTAATGTTGTTTTTATTTTTGTCCAGTATTTTCCGATAGTATTCACTTTTGCAGGTCCTTATTATAATTGTTAATTTATTTTTATATTTTTTATATTTAATCTCTGTCACTTTTGTTTTATTTCGCATGAAATCTCTATACAATGAATTTTTCTTCTTACAGGCATTTTGTAAACCCCTTGTGATCCATGGACATTCTGCATATTTCATTTTTCTACTGTATTTGACAATTGGGCAGTATGTATTATATAGTGATAAAAAAATTCTCAGGAATTGATCATATGCACTGTCAATATTGTTTTCTTTGTATAAATCATCCCATCTTTGTGCCAGTAAGGCATTTTTTAAAGCGTTCATTGCTTCCTCTGATCTAACTCGTCTGTATTGAATAGCTTTGTCCGGCATGTTATTACTATAGTTTCTGTCATAAACTGCAAATACTGGTAGGTGGTCACTTATATCATTTATTAAGAGTCCACTTACTGTATTGTTTTCTATGTCATTTGTGAATGTATTGTCTATGAGAGTAGCACAGTGCGATGTGATTCTGCTGGGTCTAGTAATTTTTGGATATAAACCCATACTGTACATTGTGTTGATAAATTCTTCTGTCATGCTGTGATTATTTGGATTTAGAAGGTCAATATTGAAGTCACCACAAATGAAAACTGTTTTATGAATCACTTTTGAGAATATTTCCTCCATCCAGTCCTTGAAAATCTCAATACTAGAGCCGGGTGCTCTATATATACAACTGATGATTACATTTTTCGTTTTTTCTTTGCAGATTTCAATCGTGATACATTCCAATACATTATCAATCACTGTTGACATATAATTCATCACTTTATATTTTAAAGTATTGTCCACATACAAGGCTACTCCTCCTCCACCCTTGTTTTGTCTATTTATGTATCTGAGTTCATAGCCCTCCAGCTCAAAGTCTATGCCTTTGTCCTCCGTGATCCAAGTTTCAGATATGGCAATGATGCTAAATGTTTGTTGAAACTGATTTAAATATTCCTTGATGAGCTTAAAGTTTGCATACATGCTTCTGCTGTTGAAGTGAATAATAGATAGCTTGCCCTCTGATATGCTCTGGTTGTACTGTTGATCAGTGTAATAACAGCATTTGTTGATGATAGAAGAGAAGAAATTATTGTCCGGGTCTATTTCATAATCCAGATCTTTTGTTTTATAGTCAGTGTATTCAAATGTTTTTAGCAACAGTTGGTCTTGTTCCTTGATCATCTGAGACATATTAATATTTTCCCCTTTTGAAGATGATTGCCTCCATTCAGTGTGAGTCATGGTTGTGTGTAAGTGCTTGTTACCTTATGTGTGGTCCAGAACATGAAGATTATTGGTATTTATCATGTTTCTGATGACCAGTACTTTGGCCTCCTCAGGTGTTCCGTTTAGCTTTATAAATATTTTGCAGTTTGTTGTCCAGGTGTTCTGAATTTTCTTCTGTTTTTTCATGAAGCGAGCCTTTCTGGCTATGTCGCTGTTGTACTTGGTCAGATGCTCGTTGATGTAGACATCTGATCCTTTCAGCTTCCTTCCTTGTTTGAGTAAGGCCGTTTTGTGTTTCCTGTTCACAAACCTGATGAGAATAGCCGGTTTGTTGCCAGCGTTACTCCTTGGCAGGGGGTGGCATGCCTCGATGTTCTCACAGCCCAGTTTGATCCCCTTGGACTGGAGGAAAGCAGCCACCTGTTGCTCCGTGGAGCTGACATCAAGCTCCCCGAGCTCACTCCTGTTGTCAACGGTCACAGCCCGAGCGTATGACCGGGGTTTTATGTTGAGCCCGGTAACGATAACATTGTTCATCCTAGTATATTGCTCAAGGTCCTCCACTCTGCTCTCCAGGTAAGTTATCCTCTTGTCCTTCTCAGCATTCTGGATCCGCAGATCCTTAACCTCTTTTACAAGGTCCAAAATGTTTTTCTGCTGCAACCTGACAGCAGAAATTTCCTCCGCCAGGAAGTCGAGCGACTTTTTAATGTCCTCGACCTCCTCCGCAGCGATGGTTTTCTTTGGACCCATACTTTGATAGAATCCAGCGATTAAGATGTTTATATTGTATGTTACGCAAGCACAAAAGTAAGTTTGTCAATAGTCGCAAAAACTTCTCTCTGCACGCTGTTGTTCCTGCCCCCCCTCCTCCACAGGAAGGAGTCAATCTAGTAGTCTAGGCCTGGCTGGGTGTATAATTCCTGGCCTGCTATGGTCCCAGTCCGGCCCTGCTGACACATCACACACCCGTCAATTAATTTCGTGACTATTACACGAAATGCCGTGAGATTGATGGCGGGTGTCCGCTCTCCTCCGCTGCTTTCTCCGCTGGCCTGTCTGCCTTTTCACTAGTTGGTATTAACCAACGTTTCATTTTGAAAAATATATTAAAGAGCTGTTCAGAAGAAATATACTAGTGCGTAGTTGATGTGTGTTTTACGTCTGTGATATTTAATGTGGTGCTGTAAAGTGACCTTTGAGCTGCAAATGATACTGTCGTAAATCTGTCAGAATCAAAATTCCTTTATTTGTCCCCCTTACCTATTAAACAGACTTACATAATAAAAAAAATATTAATAACGTTATTATTAATAATAATAATACAAATAATGATAATTACAAAGATTGAAATCATCTCGCGACCCCCCCTCGGGGTCTCGGTTAATATAAATTAAATGCTATTGCTTTTGCATCGTTGATAGCTTAACGACTAATTCTTCTTAAATGGAAGGATGAATCACCACCCACCCATAATCTGTGCAAGCAGCAATATATCTGAGTGCAAGCGTACAGTTTGAGCAGATGCGGAGCAAATCTAAGCGCAAGGACAGGGTTTGACTGAAAGAAATACAAAATCTGAACGTGAAATCAATAAATAATAATCTCAAATTGAAAGAACACGCTCTTGAATAAAGATAGGGAATAACCTCCATATTCTCTGACCCGGAACGATTTGACCGATTTGCACTTCAGGACCGCTACGGGCCTCCACCAGAGTTTCCTCTGGCTTTGCCCTGCCCAGGCATAGTTCACCATCTTTCGGATCCTATCGCACACGCTCACGCTCCATCTCCCCGACGGTGCGCGCGAGATGGGCCGGTGGTGCGCCCAGCCCCGCAGGGCCGGGATGCCCCGCGGGCACAGGCCCTCACTTTCATTGCGCCACGGGTTTTGAATGCACCCTCTGACTAGGGATGGAAATCGTCTGAAATGTATCGATTCCGATTCCAATTCTGCTTATCGATTCCGGTTCTTATCGATTCCCCGTTTCGATTCCAAAATTATAAAAGAAAGAGGTCAAACGTTTAGATAACAAAAATATTTTTTTTCTTTTAAGCTTTAACTGACATTTTTACAAATAAAAAAAATACATGCAATACAAATGTATTACACAATAGCTGTGCTTTATTTTAACTGAGCTATTGTGTATTTTGTATGGGTACCCGGTACCCAGCATTTTCTTATCGCTTCTCACCTGGAACCGAGTTTCGGTTCCCAACCCTACCTGACTCGCGCGCGCGTTAGACTCCTTGGTCCGTGTTTCAAGATGGGTCGGGTGGGTTGACGACATCGCCGCAGACCCCTGACGCCTTTTACGTGAGCCGATCCCCGCTCTGGCGGCACAACGCGGTCGGAGCGCACTGAGGACAGTCCGCCCCGGTTGACAGTCGCACCAGGAACAGGTGGCCCCGTCCCTCCCCCGAGGGGGAGAGAGGGCACAGCGAGCACTTTGTCCACGGCCCCGGGAAGCGGCAAGGTCCGGGTCAGTCCGGGTCCGGGTCCTTCTCCAGGTCTTTTCTTTTTCATATTTTTTATATTTCAGATTCCTCCGCGTACCACTAGCGGGAGCTGGCGTACCACCAGTGGTACGCGTACCACAGGTTGAGAACCACTGGTGTAATGTATTACGAGGATTTTAACCAGTGCTTCACATCTTGACTTTTGCAGGCAAGGAGTTGTTCGACTAAAACTAAAAAGAAAAGGGAATATCGCTTATTTCTTTAGCACAACAAGTCAGAGAACTGAAAATTAGACAAGAGAGATGGAAATGAAAAAGGAGAGGAGAGTACACTGGAGAGACCAGGAGGGTCAGAACATGAGAAGGCCACAGAAGGAGATGAAGATATGGATTGAGAGGAAGTGGATGTGAGAAATTAAGAAGAGGGTTCAGACTGAGAAAGAGAGACAGAGGCAGGAAGTGAGAAGGAGGCTGATGCAGATGGCAGGGAGGCAGTTACCATTCTAGCAGTGGCGGTTCTAGACCAATTTGACTTGGGGGGGGGGGGGCAAGGCTGGGACCAGTTATTTTCTGAGGGGGGCACAATAAATGCAGGACGAAGACAGTATGAAGTAATTGCGCATAAGAAAACAATGCAATACGGTTATTGATATTTATTTCAGTACACATATTTATTTCAGATACTTATAGTTACAATTTTTTAGTTTCAGTAATGAATTCCAATGACAGTATTTGTTTCAGCAACTATGTTACAATTTAACATTCAATTACACAAAATAAAACACATTACTGTTAGCTTCAGCTTAAGTTATAGTACATTTTTTGCACTAACACCATATAATATTTATATATATAAAAATAAAAGCAATGAACAGTTAAATCTCTACTGTACATAAGGGTGTCTGCATCCCAGGCTGTAGTTTCCTTCCCAAAATGTCACATTACAGCAAATCACAGATTTTTGGCAAACCGATCAACAAATAAGTCAAGATTCAAAGACTTTGACCTCCTTGACTCAATACTAAGCACACCCAGATTGCTCAGTCTCTCATCAGTTACGGTGGATCTGAGAAAAGTTTTGACCAGCTTCAATGTAGAAAAACTACGCTCACAGGAAGCAGAACTGACTGGGATTGAGACTGCTATTTTGCAGAGTCTGAAGAGCTCAAAAAACACTTCTTTATAAGGCTCAATTAACTGAACCAGCTCAACTGTACTATCAGGTCACCGCATCCCAGTCTTTATTTTCCTATCTAAAATTCTGCTGAACTGATGTAGTTCATGCCCCAAGTCATCAATATTTGCATCATACAACTGAGCAAATGAAAACAGAGTTGTCTCCTTCAGAAATCCTTTACTTTTGGGGTGAAGAGCTTGGATGCTATTCATCATGTCACAGTTTGTCTTTGAAAACCGTCTATTAAGCTCATTGAGCATCTGATCAATGACAGGGTAGAAAAAGGCTGTACGAAACCCGTGTTTATCTTGTTCTGTCTCTCTCTGTCCAACAGTAGTCAGTACGAAGCTTTCCGCAAGTTTAGAGCTCAGTCGTTTTTGTCGTTTTGCTGCTGGCTGTATTGCAGTATCACATTGCTCAGAAATGTTCAACACTTCATCCCAAAAAATGACTCCTGCCTGAAGTCATTCAATGTCTGAACTAAAGATCCAACTAAGTCAACAGCTTTTGAAAGGTCAAGGGATGAAGATTTTAACATCTCAGAGAGAAGATTTGTTTCTCCAAACACTTCACACAGAGTGTTACGAGATGCACAATGAATTACAGATCCAACTGTGCCAGCAGCACATGCCTCAATAGATCTTTCACCATTGCGTTCTTGGGCTATGTCTTGCAGTACTCGCTTGAGGACGGGTAATCTATCCATAATGTTACGGAGAGATATAAATCTGCATGCCCATCTTGTGTCACTCAATCGCTGGAGTTCTCTTGGTGCACCTTCGTACATCTCTCTTTGAATATCTAGCCATTTGGGGTGGACATCTAGTGAGGAGAAGAACTGCTCTGCTTCTGGGACAGCTTTGACTGTATCTACAAAAACTAGATTTAGACAGTGAGCATTGCAATGAATATAATCATATGTTTGGCCTACAAGGTTGTTTTTGTATTCCAGACCGTAACTTTCCAATATGTGAATAATGTTTTCAGTAAGCCCTGCTGCATCTAGCCTCTCTGCTGACTCAAAATGGAGAAAACTCTCCTGGATAGCACCATTGAAGTAGTACCTGACTACAAGAGAAATATGTTCTTTTAAAATCTGCCATGATGCTAAAGACTTCACTGTTTTCCACTTCCTCTGTTATTTCAGAACAACCCAGAACTTCATTCTGAATGATTTTGCTTGTGTACTTTGCATTATGAATGGAAGTCAACCTTTTTTTAACAGCTTTGTCATGGTTAGCAATTGTCTCTAGAATTGCCATGACGTTCCCTTTATTATCTGAGCCTGCAGACTCATGGTGTCCTCTTTGAGCAATGTTTTGTGTCGCAGTAAGTAGCAGCACTTCGGCTATGGTTTTTATATGTTCCCGATTTTCTTGAACCTGTTCATTATGTTCTTTGTTAAGTACATTTGCCAATGTTGCATTAGATGTCATAGCTCTCTGGTAGTCTTTCCATGCAATCATTGCTTGCTCAGATTTGGCATGGATTGTTCTTCCAGTTTTTGAGACCTGAAGGTGAATCAAATACAGTGTCTGCTATTCACAGGACTAAAATGTCTGCAGGCGTAACAATGAGCAGAGTCTGACATTTTTGAGTACTCAAGCCAGGGGTGAAATTAAGTTTGGTTGCACTGGTGGCTCTTCTTTGCATTTGCTGATATCTGTGGAGAAAGACAACGCAAATAAATATGTTAATTATTATTATAATTGTAACAGATAATTATAAATTATATATGCACATTTACCAGAGCAATGAAGAACCACAAATTAGATATCTATATTAATAGATTTATGACATGAGGGAAAATGAAATGAATTAGTATCACACACACTCTTACATGAGACAAACCATTTGAACTGTAACTAAGATTAAAGCAGGCACATTTGTTTTTCGAAATCACAAACCTGATGTTCCAGTACTTGTGGATGCACATCTATCCTCTGTCTCACACTCGATTTGGATTTCATCCTCAGCCTCACTCTGCGACTCTTCATCCTTCTCTCCCTGCTCTGAACTCTCACTTTCAAGATCAGTCTCTCCTGAAAATTCCTCAGGCTCTCTCTCTGTGGCAATCTGCACTTCCTCCTGTGTCTGTGGGTGTTTCTCAATCGCGAGTACGCTTGCTTGGTAGCACATGTCTGCCGAGCATCTTGCTTCAGAAGCGAGGCAAGAATACTTCCTGGCATTCGGAAAACGAAGAGTGAAACAGGCTAGCAAGTGTGCAGGTGTGCGTCATATGATAGGCCCCGCCTTACATTTTCCGTCACAGATTTGGGGAAATTGGTCCGTGCGCAAAGCATTGTGGGGATTTTAAGACCGCGGAGTCTACTCATGTGCAGCCTCGATATTTCTCCAAACGGAGTACGCCGGGCTCGGTAGATTTCCAAGTATGCTGGAGATTGGAACAGTACTTCGGCGGCACTCGATGACGTAGTATGCTTGAAATAGTGGCTCTGGAGTAGCTTTACTCGCGATTGAGAAACACCCTGTGTGTTACTGTGTGCCTCATCATTTACATTTTTTGGGGCGAAAAAGGACATAATATCCTTTTTTCGCTTCATTTTGAAGAACTATAGAGCAAACACAATGGGGGAGACAACACTTCAGCAACGCAGAATATAAATCTATAACCGCTAGTTACATTTCACAACTATATAACACAAAGATGAATGTATATCATGCTAAAAGCTTTCCAAACATTATTGCAAAGCTCACAACAAGTAACGTTTGAGCCTTTTAATCTGTTAAGCCCCAAGCCTGTTTTTCAGGTCTCAGGCTCGAAAATGACATTCCCAGAACAAATGACCATATCTTCCCTTCTAAAAGGGTTAAATTAATAATCTTTATTCTCAAAGTAATGATAAACCTGTGAGTTGGATGTAGAAAAGTCAGAATCAATATAGATGTTTTTTATTTTAAAGAAAATTCAGATTTTACATAGTAAAAAACAGTAAATTATAGTGTCCGTCCAAATATTATTTTTTACTTATAGTGAAAACTACCCTTGGATGATAGTAAGGTATCCATATCTCTGGCTTCCCTTGCTCGATTTTGATGGTTGACACCTCTTTCTGACCGTTAGAGCCAATAGAATCGAAGGGGGAGTCCCCCACACACACTAATTGTGAAGAGAAGAGGTGGGGGCTTCGCGCATGTAATTTAGCATCACAGTGAACCTATCTCTCGCTCTGACATCTGGAAACGGAAAAGCAGTTTTAATGCTTATGGATTATCAGAAATCATTTCAAAGGGACACAGACACATTGGATTAACCTATGGATTAACTTCAGCAGCGTTTTTATCGTTTTAATGCCATTGAAGACCACTTTGGAGAGACTACAGAGCCAAGGTAAAAATGTTAGCATTTTTAGCTACCTAGCGTCACCTGTTTTGATGTGCGTTTTTGCTTATAACGTCGCCATTTCGTATAATTCAGTGATAATGTGGGTGTCCATCGATTCTGTGTCACCTCACGATGTGAAACGATGTGTTGGATGTAGAGAAGAGATAAATAATAAGGTTTTGTGAGTGGTTTTCGGTGCAGTAAGGTGTTAGCATTTTTCGCTCGTTGCTAATTCAGAGGCTCAGTGTTAGCATTGTGGCTTTTCTTTTGAAAAAAAAAAAAAAAAGATCAGTTAGATGTGTTTCTTCCCGTTACATGGATATAAAACATTCATAGTTTTATTAAAGGAACATGCGGCAGTGCCCCGGTACCGGGGTCTCTCGTGCTTAACAGGTTAATGAAAGCAAACTGTTTGCTGTTGCTGATTACGTCGCCCACTAAGTTAACTAACGTTAGTCAACAACAACACTTACTGACCTAAAATCTTACCTTGCAATAATTACACGGATACAATAGTTTAACTCACCTTCAATTATCGTGGTAGTCTCTCGAAACGTAGGTTTCAATCTTGCTTGGATGCAACAGCCTCTGATCCGAGATGAAAAGTGTTTGTTTTTCTTTCGCGCGCTTCAGCCGGACAGGGAAAGTGAGTGCACCGCTCTAATGTGTCCGACTAGAATGACGAATAACGTTAGTTCCGCCTATTCCGTCATCCAATAAATCGTTTAATAATACACTTTTCATTTTCAGGGGGGCCACAGGGTCAGTGTTAGGGGGGCATCACCCCCCATCCCCCCCCTGCATTCTAGCAGGACCACATGGTATGTTTTTATTCCCCATCCATTACAGTAGCATAGCAAGGCATGTCACTCACTTTTACCTATGTAAATTACATGTTAATTCCTGCTTTCTGTTTTATGTGTTACAAATGCATCTTATTGTATTAGTGATTATGATCAAACCAAAGGTATAACAAAATACTACTTGTATTTTGCCTGCCATTTTATATTTTTTATTGAGAAATTCTTGTAATTCTTGTATTATTTTCATTTTGCTGAAACCTTTATGTTTTAAAATGTGCAGTCTTGTTTTGTCTGATCACTGGGCATGTTCCTTTTGTGATACTATAACAATACATAGTTTAAATGTATATCTGTGTTTTAATGTTTTGTGTAGTGGATTCATTCATCCTCCCATGCCCCCCTGTCAAAACCTCTTGCGACCCCTTTGCCACCCCATGTAAAATGGTCTAGATCCGCCACTGGATCTAGATTTTATAAGGCCTGGCAGCCATTGATCACACACGTAGAGAACTGCAAGCTGGACTTAACTCTTTAAAGAAGATTGTGTATATATTTGAGTGTTGCTGAATCTGGGCTACTACCATCTCTAAAGCAATATTGTAAGTTTTGTATATATTTTGTCTTTTGGTTTGTCATTTGCTTTGTATTTAAAAAAATGTTTAGAGTCAATTGTGAGAACGTGTACACTTATCTCATTTACTCTGTTTCTTTATTTTTTGTTTTTTTAATTTCATGCTGGGGTAGGGGTGGGGGGTATATTTGATCTGCTTTTTGGCAGTCTGGTTTAAATGTGCACTGTTGGATCTGTATTTGACTGCGCAATGACATTCTGTATGACTTTTTTTTATAATGAAAACCTTCAAAAATAATGTGTGAAAAAAACAAAAAACAAAGAGTGCAGTCTCAATGCCGAGGCTGCTGTAAAGCTATTAGCTGCTAACAGGACATATTGAACTGAATACAGATCACCAGCAGAGGGCATCAGCTCACTGTGGAAAAATAAAGCTATCAAAATGATAGTTCAATTCTTTCTTATATCCCAGTAAATTGTGATACTTCTGTTAAATTCACCATATAATACCTAGAAATTAAATATTTAGATATTAGGATTACATTGGGAAGAATAGATAAAAACTGTTAAACCTCCTTCAGTAATAACTCTCATAACAAGCAGTTACATTATTTAATGTTTGAAAATATAATGCCTTGTTTTTGTGTTTAAGCCATACAAAAGGGATTATACTGTCTGTATGATTTTACTGATTGAATGTATTATATTATCAATAAACAGAGGCCTAGGCATGTTATCATTGTGGGGATCAACACAAGTCTGTGAAGCATCAACAGTGCCTAGCAGACGTGAGCACTTGGTTGCTATGGATACCAGTTGCTCATTGACTTACGTTGTATTTTGGGTGCAAAACAGAACGTTTCAGTTTGACTCCAAAAACTGGGAATGTTTCTCTGTGAATTAACAGGATTAGCAGAAATCAAGTCAGATTAATGACCTGATTGATTCATGGGGAAAATATTCTTCTACTTGCTGTTAAGTGAACAAAGCCATATTATCATGTTTGAAAGATGACACAAGATATCTGAGCTTACTCCCTCATGTTGTTCAGACCTTCCTGTATTAGACATCACCCTGGTCTTTGCTGGGGGTGCATTTGTTTACACTTTAACATTATGGCCCTTAATTCTCTTCCTTTTGTTAACTTTTCCATTAAGGTGTAATCATTTAAATCAACATGGTGTAATACATTTTTGGGGGCACATTTTTTACACAAAAACAACAACAAAAAGTTTTCAAGGTCGACACCTTGGGTACCCTGATGTTAGCTCCGGAGCCGTGCTGCTGCTTTGTTCAACCCCCCCAAGTGCTGAAGAGAGGGCATTCTGCTTGATTATTATTATGACCATAGGCTAGTCTGGCTCGGACAGTACACCACTTCCGGCAGTGGCTCAGTCAGTAGGGGCTTGGCCTGTGAGCCTGCGTGCGTGTTTTGGTCCCAGAAGGAGAGGTGAATTGTTTGTTTGTGAATCACTTTTGTTTCGTCCAACTTATAGTTTGTTTTTGTTCATAGTCCCCCCCAAAACAGCCATGCTGTCTGGGGGTTTCCCCCGACCCGTGTGTTTTTCGTTTTGATGGATATACTGGCAACGAAAACTGGAATGGCTTTATCGACTGCGTCACGGATCACGGACATTGAAACATTACAGCGGAGTGCGGAGAGGGATGGGAAAACTGTGAATGAACAAGGAAAGGACAATGACAACGAAAATGAGAGCGGACTTAATACGAAAAACAGGAGTGGGGAAACAAAAAGAGGTGAGAGAGGAGTTGGAGTGGGTGGTGGAAGAGGAGAAATATAAAAAAGAGCTTACGGTGGTGGTGGTGGAAAGCGGAAAAGCAGTGGTATCTGTAATGGATCTGCTAAAAGGAGTTAAAAAAGAATGTGGAGTGGTGATGGGGTGCAGGGTGAAAGGAGACGGCCTATATGAAGTGACAATGGCTGATGAAAAAGGAAAAAATAAAATAATGGATGGGATAAGGATAAACGGAGCCATGGTGCGGGGCAGAGACTGTATGATAAAATAACTTACAGTATCATTCCTGAACATACCGGCTTATGTATTGGATACAACAATTAAGGGCAGATTGGCAATGTGGGGGGTTCTGCCTGTCTCGGCAATCAAGAGAAGAGTGTGGCCAGGCACAGAGTTTGCAGACGGGACGAGGTTCCTGCGGGTGGAATTCAACAAGGAAGTAAGGTCACTCCCATACTCAACTAGATTTGATACTCTCGAGGGTCCGGAGTACTTCAGGGTGATCCACGATAAGCAAGTACCGGTCTGCAGGTTGTGCATAAGGCCAGGGCATTTATATAAAGAATGCCCTGAGTTCAGATGCTATAAATGTGCCAAGCAGGGACACTATGCCCGGGACTGTGTGGCTCGGGAAGAGGGGGCGAGCGGAGCCAGGGGGAGAGAAAGTGCCCAGGCGGATAAAACAGCTGAGAATGACATAGAGGAAGAGGAGGGTGGAAGTCAGGAAGAGAATGAGGAAGAGGGCAGAAGTGATGAGGCTGGGAGCAGTATAAACAAAGATACTGTGGCTGCTGTTGTGGCTATTTTTGTTGCTGCTGCTGCAAAGAGAGTCGCTGGTACGGCTGCCGCTGACGGTGGAGGAGACGGAGGGAGGAAGAAGGGGAAAGCAGACGACGGAGCTGCTGATGTTCCTGCTGCTGCGGATCCTCTGTGAGGAGAGGTGAGGGTTTGGCGGATACTGAGGCGGATGCTGATGTGGATGTTGATCCGGATCCGGATGCGGATGCTGAGGCGGATGTGGATGCTGAACCTGATCCTGATGCTGGAGGAGGAGCTGTCGGTGGGAGGAGAGGAGGAGAGGGAGCATGAGACGGAGGAGGTGATGGTGGAGACGGGGGACAGACTGCTGAGGAAATGGAGGTCAGTTCGGTCGTGTCTGACATGGAGGAGGGAGGAGACTACGAGGAGAACGAATCTGATGGAGAGGAGGTGGAGATGACGGGACCTCTGGGGGGGAAGATCTGTGGTGAGACTAATGCTGTGATAAAGAGCAAAGGAAGGAGGAGAGAATCTAGCAGGCTCACTGCAAAGAGGAAAGCAGAGAAGGATAAAGAGGTGGAGAAAAGACGGGTGAAAACGCCTGCAAAATGTTTTGCAAAAAAAACATAGAATGAATACAATTACAACTATCATAACACTCGTAATGGTGACAATTTCCTCCTTCAATGGTAATGGATTGAGGTCCTAGGACCGGAGAGAACAGGCCTTAATGATATGTGGCTCAGACATTATATGCTTGCAGGAGACACATTGGGATGAGAGGTGTGTGGAGGATGTAAGGAAAGAGTGGATGGGAGAGGTTTATGTAAATAATGGGAGTGTGGGTGCTAGAGGGGTGGCAATATTAATTAAAGCAGGGGTGGTAACGAATGTAAGGAAAGTTGAGGATGATGGTGTTGGGAGAATGGTTGGGATAATGTTCGAGTGTATGGGGGAAACCTTTAGTGTAGTAAACGTTTATGCACCGAATGAGATAAGGAGGAGGAGGGAGTTTTTTGAAGGGTTGGAGGGTACATGTGGGGGAAACTGTATGATTGTTGGTGATTTTAATGTGTGGTGTTCAAAACTGGATGTGTCTGTTAATATGTGTTTTAATAGTGATTCATCACGTGGTGCTCTCAAAACAATAATGGGGACAAATGGGCTGCTGGATGTGTGGAGGGAAAGGAACAGTAGGGAGCAGGCTTTTTCTAGGAATCAAGTGGTGGGAGGGATATTAAAACAGAGTAGAATAGATTTAGTGTGGAGTAATTTAGGGGAGAAAATTGGCAGAATTGAGTATAGGAATACTGCCATGAGTGATCATAACATCTTGAGTCTCTGCATTGGAACAGTGATGAAAGGAAGAGGAGGAGGAGTGTGGTGCCTAAATGCATGTCTGCTGAATGAGGATGGATATAAGGTTCAAGTAAGAGAATGTATGGATATAAGGGGAGGTTTGAACGGTGAGGATGTGGGGGTGTGTTGGGAGGGATTTAAAAATGAAATAAAAGGGATAAGTATAGGATTTTGTAAAAATAGGAATAAAATAGAAAGAGAGAAAGAGAAAATGGTTAGGGAAGAGTTACATTTAGAGGCTAAAAGGGTAGATATAGAAATAGGGAGAGATCTAGATGAATATAGTCGTTTGAAGGATGAGCTGGGGGAGATAGAGAAGAGAACATGTAGAGGTGCTATAGTTAGAAGTAGGGCTAGGTATGCAGTTGAAGGAGAGAAAAGTACAGGGTTCTTTTTGGCTTTAGAGAAAGTAAAGCAGAGAAAGAATAATATAGAGCAGGTTGAAGAAAAGGAGGAGAAATAATATCACATTTTGTAGGGATTGCTGAAAGAGTTGAGGAGTTTTATAGGGAGTTATTTGAGGCTGAGGAGATTGATACGGAGAGCTTAGAACAGGTGATAGATAGTATGGAAGCTAGGTTGAGTGATGAAGGTAGGGGAATGTGTGAGGGGGCGATAGGACTAGGGGAGATAGAGTTAGCTATAGCAGGGTTAGGTAGGAATAAGACTCCAGGGATAGATGGTCTGACATCTGAGTTTTATATAGAGTTTAGGGAGGGGCTGGCGCCAATATTCCTTAAACTGTACAGGAGCCTGGAGGAGAGGGAGGAATTGCCGGCCGGTATATCTACAGGGATTATTAGTATATTGTACAAGAAAGGAAATAGGACTAAGTTAGAAAACTATAGACAACTTAGTATGTTAAACACGGATTATAAAGTGCTAGCACGGGTGTTAGCGAATAGAATTAAGAGGGTTATAAAATCAGTAGTGGGAAACACAGGCGTATAGTATTCCAGGGAGGGATATTAGTGACACTATTAGTAGTATTAGGGATACAATTAGTCACATGAAGGAGGGTATAGGTGGGATAGTAGTTAGTTTAGATTTAAATAAAGCTTTTGATAGGGTTAGTCATGGTTTTTTGTATAGAGTGTTAGAGAAGGCAGGATTTGGGAAAAGATTAATAGGGTGGGTAAGGAGGATTTATAGTAGTGCAGTCAGTTGCGTTACAATTAATGGGGTGGTAACCAATGTTTTTAAGTTAGGGAGGTCGGTCCGGCAAGGATGCCCTCTATCAGCAATGCTGTACGCGCTGTCAGCCGAGCCCCTCGCGACTCTGCTGCGGCAAAACAGGTTTATCAAAGGAGTGGAGGTGCCAGGAGGGGGGGTTTGTTTAGTTTATCAGTATGCAGACGACACCACCATTACCGTTAAAGATAGGGAAAGTGTTAGGGAAGTGTTGAAGACAGTTAGCTTGTATGGTAGGGCATCAGGAGCTAGGGTGAATTTAGATAAATCAGAGATGATGTATATAGGACAGGTGAGGGATAGGAGTTGTGATATAGGGTTGAGGGAAAATAAGGATTACTTTAGGGTATTGGGGATCAATTTTTAAACGCAGCCCCGCTCTCTTTAACTCCAGGCGACTTTCTGCTGCTTTCCTCCGTAATGCAGTGCTGATAGTTTCACCAAAGAGGAAAGCACTTCACAAATTGCAGTACCCATAAGGAGCTGTAAAAATGCCGCAGTCTTTGCGTGGCGATCGATATCGGCCGATACTCACTCTCTGCCGATCGATCGGTGCTCTCTAAAAATGCCGATCGCGAGACGTAAAATACATGACACTTTTCTCTGTGTGCGGCTAAACAAGCTCGCCGAAATGGCTTCACCAGTCTGGCAGTATTTTAAGGTGTCCGAAAATGACAATAAAATAGCGGTGCAACGTGTGTGAAGCAGAAATCCTGCAGCTCCACCCGCTGTGACGGACCGGTGAGCGGAGCAGAACACACAAGAGTTAGACCTAACACACTTAGCTATTTGATCTACCTTTGGAACTAGTTATAAATATATGTATTCTTCACTGTCGGGTCACTCATTACTGGATCAGTGAGCTGCATGAGATACTGACAGGCTGTCAGGAGAGAGCGCCAGTGAATGAGCCCCATTAACTGAGTTTTAAACATTTCTTTAAATGGAAGCTCCCCATAGGACCCGCCCACTCGATCGGATCGGCGATCGGAGCATCCCTAATGTAAGTTGCGCTGACAGGTCCACACACTGCTTGCCCGCAGCGAGGCTCCCCCGCCCTCCTGTTGACAGTTCACGAGCGTCGAGCTCTTTTTTTAATGGCACTTCATATCAAAAAGGTTGCCGACCCCTGCACTATACAGTGATTCAGTGAAAAGTTTAACCAATTTCTAGAAATGTTCAAGCCATAAATAGTGAATATGATATTCTATTTTGTCAGTTTTATGACCTTATAGGAGTTGTTTATGTTTTTTCGCATGTGTTTAATTTTTAGCAACTGTCTACCCGATGCGTAAGCCATGCATAGCACATTTTAATTACAAATAAGGCAATACAACTTAGGATTTTATATTATAATGTTGCCAAAGGTTTGTATAACACTATACAGTGATTCAGTGAAAAGTTTAACTAATTTCTAGACATTTTCAAGCTATAAATAGTGAATATGATATTCTATTTTATCTATTTTGTCAGTGTTATGACCTTATAACAGTTGTTTTTATGTTTTTTTGGCATGTGTTTAATTTTTAGCAACTGTCCACTCGGATGTTTTATTCCAAGAGAAAGGATATTGTCATTGTGCCAGCACACCCTGCCATCAGTGACGATGACGAGGAGGAAGATGACGATGTGGAAGACCCTGACTTTGTCCCACCCACCCACAATCTGGACATTCCAGGCCCAAGTGACATGGGCCCCTCTGCCAAGAGGTGGTGCATGGAGCCTGCAGTGCTCCAGGTTGATGACGACGATGACGACGATGACGACGATGATGACGACGACGACGATGATGGTGACAACGAGCAGTCAGCACTACAAGCCAAGAGGCCCACCAAACCCAGGAAGTCAGCAGCACGGCCAACCACCTGGCACAAAGCTGACCTGGAAAACACAGAACTGCCGGAATACCAGCACTCTCCCTCTGACTACATTGAAACCCCTTTTCAGTACTTCACAAGGTACTTTGGCCCCGAAATTGTCACTCATATCACCTACCAAACAAATGTGTACGCCACTCAAAAGGACATTAACACCACTTTCACCACCAATGAGAATGAGATAATGACATTTCTGTCCATCCTGATGTATATGGGGATTTCAGAGCTCCCAGCTGTTGAAGATTACTGGGCCATGGAGACCAGAGTCCCTCAAGTTGGCAACCTGATGTCTTCAAAGAGGTTCAGGCTGCTGAAAAGGGTTGTCCATTTCAATGACAACACTGAGCTCCCTGGTTCCATTGACCGCTTCTTCAAAATCCGGCCACTGTTCAGCTTCCTCAATTCTGCCTTCAGGCGTGAGCCGCAGACCCCCAAACAGTCTGTGGATGAGGTGATGGTTGCCTACAAAGGGAAGACAGCCGGCAACCTCAGGCAGTATATAAAGACCAAGCCAGACAAGTGGGGTTTTAAGTTGTTTTCCAGGGCCTCTGCGGATGGCTTCATCCACGACATGGTGCTGTACCAGGGGAAGACTACTCTGGAGGCCCACGGTGTCCCCCTGACACCTAAACAACAAGCCATGGGTGTCACCAGCCAGATTGTCTCTGTCCTGGCAAGTACCATGTCCTCCCCCAGCACCACAGCCATCTTTGCGGATAACTTTTTCACCAGCCTGGAGCGAGTGCGGTACCTCCGAGACCAGAACTGCGGGTATACAGGCAGGGACAATAGAATTGGAAAGCCCCCGCTCAAGTCCATCAAGGAAATGGAGAAAAAGGCTGTCCCTCGTGGAACATGTGACTACATCATGAGTGATGATGGGATCCTGGCTGTCAGGTGGAAGGACAACAGAACGGTATCTCTGCTGTCAACAGACATGGGGGTGGAGCCTATGTCCTCAGTCATAGGGCTGTGCAATTAATCATATTTTAATCGCAATTACGATTTTGGCCTGCCACAATTACGAAAACAACATAATCGAAAAAAACAATTATTTAGCTTTGCTTGGTTGTGACAGTGCATTGCAACATATTTGATCTAATTAATTTTGGTCTCATTTATTTGTATTTATCATATTTATATATGTTTAGTAGCTTGTTGAAGTGCGCTCCAAAATATTTGTTGATCTTGTTTATTGGTATTTATTATTTTGATATTATTTATTTAAATGTATAATTTATTTAATTTATTTTTGTATTGGTTTTTCAGTTGAATTATACGTTCAGGGTAATCAACAGTTAAAAAGATACTGTTCAAATTATTATTTGTATTTGTTTTAAAGTTCAATAAATGGATGTTTTCAAAGTCAATGAATAATCGTATTTAATAATCGTGATATCAATTATTGACCCAAATAATCGTGATTATGATTTTTGCTATAATCGCACAGCCCTACTCAGTCATCAGGTACTGCAGTGAGACGAAGACGAAGGAGCCGGTGAGCTGTCCTGCTGTCATCCGGACCTACAATGCCAACATGGGGGGCATTGATAAGAGTGACATGTTGGTCCACCTCTACCGCACCCTGTTAGTAATTCTTGAACCCTGAGAGCAGGACAGACTGAAAAGAGTCAAGGGAAGCCCATAAAAGTTAACAGCATTTAATTACACAAATGATGCGGTGATATACAATTAAATCCGCAAGTTGGTGGCTCCCCCCTGCCAGCTGTTGGTCCCGTCCGCGTTGGGTCAGCTGGGGGCAGGAGGAGAAAAAGATTGATTCTTGGCTCGCTCTTCCCGTTGTCATCTGAGGTCTTCTCCTATTGGCCGGCGTCGACGGGGGCAGGTCCAATGCAATTCCTGCCTTTTTCTGTTGCTAAATTACATCATTCTGGTGTCTGTGGTTATTTAAACATTCCCTGATAACGTTTTTTCAGCCTCAATAAATGAGTGCTATTCCCAGTGTGTTTAGTGTACAACATCACATGTTATTTCACCTTCAATTCACGGTTTCAAAACGTTAGCCACATGCTAATGCTAACCGGAAATGAAGAATTTTCAGAATAAAAGTGTTAAGTTAATAGTTAGTGTGAACTTCCGGTTTCTTCAGAATAAAACTGCTTTAAATTAAAATCCTATATTTAATTTAAATTATGCCATATCAACATTGATTTTAATTTCTTACAACCCCCATGAAGTCCAAGAGGTGGTACATGCGTATGTTTGCATACGCCAGGGGTCGGCAACCCCTGGCACGCGTGCCAGCATTGGCACGCGACACCGTAACCAGTGGCACACTAGGATTAAGTGGAATAAGTGTGCAAAATATTTAAATAAAAATATTTTCGGATCCTGAACGAGACCGCCGCCAGAGCGCGTCTCCCCGTTGCCTGCAAAAGGAAGCCATGCACGCAGCGCAGCCCCGCTCTTTTTAACTCCAGGTGACTTTCTGCCGCTTTCCTCCGTGGTGCGGGGCTGATCGTTTCACCACGGAGGAAAGCACAAACTGCAGTATCCATAAGGAGCTGTACAAATGCCACAGTTTTTGCGTGGCTGTGCCTTTAGTTGAAAGCCCAGTGGCGATCTGCTCATCTCTCATTGAAATAATATGCTACAAAGGACTGGCCATCTGTGTGTTGAACTTTCCTGTCGGCTCCCAGACCGTAGTCGAGGAGGGCAGAAGCAACAAGCTTCAGGTTCAATAACCCACTTTAGCTGAAATGACTGGAGAGAGGCGAGCTCTTCTTGGGAGGCCGTTGCATTTATTTAGCTGTTCTTCTGTTTCACAAAATACATCACAGACCTCTGTTTTTCTGCTGCCTCGTTTCACTTCCAGAAACATACACACGCTCCCTCAGCGCTCTACCATCCACACACACACATGCACACGCCACACCCCTCACTCTCTCTCTACCATCCACACACACACATGCACACGCCACACCCCTCTCTCTCTCTCTTTAAGGGACAGCGATCTCATCTCACTCTGCCTGACCCTAATATCATAACATGTGTGTTCTGGAGAATCACAGAACGGACGATCGTCCTTATTATTATGCCGTTTAAACCAATTATTTAAATGTGTTTGTTAAATTCGGAATTATGTAAGTTGTGCTGACAGCTCCACACACTGCTTCCCCGCAGCGAGGCCCCCCCGCCCTCCTGTTGATAGTTCACCAGCGTCAAGCTCCTCAACACCCCCCCCCCCCCCCCGTTGATCATTCTCGATCGTTGGCACGCTGATGACAATGAATTTTTTTAATGGCACATCATATCAAAAAGGTTACCGACCCCTGGCATACGCCATTGATGTCAGCCTCACAAATGCCTGGATCATGTACAGACGGGACTGCAAGGCCCTTGGTGTGTATGGCGTGCCTCTGAAAAGCTTCAGAATTCAGGTGTTCAGGGCTGCCAGCAACCAGTGGCCAGTCAAGTCTAGCTCCCGAAGAAGCTCATCTTCATTGGTTGAGAGTGTGACCGTTGCTGACCCCCAGCCTGTCCGTGGACACCGCAGCCACACCCCAAATGTGGCTGTGCGGTTTGATCCCTCCCTCTTCCATGCCCCTGTACATGCCATTCGCCTGACCTGTAAGTACTGCAGCAGGAAAGGCAACATTGTAAGGTCAAATGTGGTCTGCAGGGTCTGCAAGGTCCACCTCTGCATGAATGCGGAGCGTAACTGTTTTGTCAGTTACCATGAGGAATTTGACTAATTTCTCATGTGATGTATGTTTTGTTAGTTAGCTTAGTTTTCAGGGACCATGTTAAAAAGGAACAGTTTATAGCAGTTTGCTAATTTCCATCTGCAGTCCCTGGGCAGGTCAACATGTATACTACATATTAAATACATTATATACAAACATATTTCATACCCCTGCACTAAAACATTTACATTACAAATATTTATTTCATACCCTTGCACTAAAACGTTGACATTACAAATATGTATTTCATACCCTTGCACTAAAACATTTACATTACAAATATTTATGTCATACCCTTGCACTAAAACGTTTACATTACAAATATTTATTTCATACCCTTGCACTAAAACGTTTACATATATTATATTATATTTCATACCCCACATTTACATAAGAAATGACTCTACACTCTATTTATATTATTTATATTGTATTTAAGTGCTTATGTTATGTTCTAATGTTCTAAAATAAATGTTCCTTTGACCCTATATGTATTTTTCTCATATTTCTTATAAAAAAATGTTTTTACCACAAACGGGCAAGGAACCATATCTTCACTTCATTGACCTTGATTTTTTATATGAAAATGAAATATTTTAGAAAATGTCACAAAAGTAAAACAGTATTGTTATGTCCTCCAATAACACTCTAGGGTTGAAATTTAGAATTTCAAAGTATTTCAATGAGTGCCCTATACAGGGTTAAGTATTACATCAAAAATAGAATATCTGCTCTCCGAAGGAAATTGGTATAAAACCATTGGAAAATACTTTCAATGTTAGGCTGATGTTAGGCCTTTTTTTTTGTCTTCGGATATGTTCTGAAGTTGTACATTTTGTTTAAACAATACAGAAAAACATAAGGAAATTGGTATAAAACTATTGCAAAATACTTTCAATGTTAGGTTTTTTTTTTTTTTGAGTCTTCGGATATTTTCTGAAGTTGTACATTTTGTTTAAACAATACAGAAAAACAGAATAATTTTGAAATAAATGTTTATTGCATTAAAAGAATGTTGTAGAGAGTTTATATTAATTATTATTATTAATAATTAGTGTTGGGTATGTTTTTTATCTACTACTTCTCCCATTCACAAATCCGAAACCAAATAAAAAAATCTATTAATATGTAACAAATATATTCCATTTCAGAGCAGAAGAAACAGCCTTCAAGGGTCCAACTCTGCACATACATCATTCAGCAGTGCACAGTGAAGCTCCAACATTCAACTGTATGAACAAGCAATACTTTGAAATGCAAAAGTGTGTGTGGTTGTGTACGAGAGTCTCTTTAATCATTTTTTTCAATTCTAGCGTCAAATTCGCGTGACGCGTTCTCGCGGTAGCCAATCAACGGTGAGGATCTCAGCCTGACGTTGAATCAGAAAACCAAAACATCAGCCGTTAGCTGTTAGCACTCAGAGCTCACAGCTCCTCATATCTGTTCAGAAACTGGACAAAAGTTAAACATGAACAAAACACAGACTGTCTGTGTCATGGCGAATACAGTCGCTGTTGTATCTGTGTCTGTATCATGTTGTTGTGAGTCCGGATGGAGCAGATACAACGTTAGTTAACCTGGTCGATCCGATCTCCATTCAGAAAACACGCATTTTAAAAGGTTTTTCGCCTGCCATCTTGTCAAAGCATTAATTCATGGTTTTTACTAACCGGTATCAGTATGTTGTTACTTCGGCATTATTTTTAAACGTGTATTACAATTAAATCACGGTAAGTTCATGGATATAAGCCCCGCCCCCTCTCCAGCACGTCCTGTTTGAATGACAGGAGTAAACACAGCTGACAGCCACGGTGAAATTAGAGCGATGCAAATATTCGCATGGCGTCCGGTGTGAACGCAGCATAATGCAGTTCAGATACCAGACCACTGTTCTGACGCCTTTGAAGCAACTTTGAGATGTTAACAGTGCGCGGGGCACAAAGGCCATGGTGGCCGTAGCACGTACAATTATTTTCAGGGCATCGCGGCCAGACCGAGGGGCAACGACGGCCATGGTCGCCGTGAAATTCCTACCCTGGTAACAAGGAAAGTCCAGTCAACTCAATAATGTATCTAGTAACTCTGATCCCTTCCAAGATATGTAAACTAGAAATATGTGTGTGTCTGATCCCTTCCAAGATATGAAAACTAGAAATATGTGTGTGTGTATAATGGACCTCATAAGTGCTGACCGCTAGATGCTAACACTCAGCCTCTGAATTAGCCACGAACGAAAAAATGTAACCTATCACTGCACCTAAACTCACTCATAACTCCCTTATTACTTATCCTAGATGCACAGCCAACCCATCAATTAGCATCTCCTGGAGACACAGAATCTGGGGGTGCCCAC